GAGGACTCATCTCTAGTCGCTTTCCTTCATGTATAATCACCATCTTCACATTTTTCTATCATTGTGATCCCACATGTCATATACTAAGTGAAGAGAAGGTCTATCAGTTGTCACAAACTCTAATCATGTCATAAATAGACATAAAGGAAAGTATTAGGTCAAACTTGATCCCACCAAAAAGTCAACCAATAACTTATCCTTCACGAACTTGGCCTTGCCAATATCATCATCCCTATAACACTCCATTGTACTGATTACCATTGTTGGAGACCTTGCTTTATCAACTTGAACCCTCTTAAGCATGACAATAGAAGAAGCAAAGCGTTCTCGGCAACTGAAAAAGTTTCAAAATCCACAGAAACTATGTACATTGCCAACCTCATGGAATATTACAAATTTAAAATTCCTTGATCATCATACCATCACCCACAACCTCACTAATCCAAGTACACTCTTCAAATGCAATCTTGAATTATTCCACATTCTTAGCAGCACAAATATGCTTCAGCAGATTGAGGTGCACAACACAAGAGTTCCAAAAAGATTGAGAAATTGGTGCTTCAATTAGGGCCCGCTGCCTTGCAATTGCCTTATCTTGAATGACCTTGAACCACATTTTAGGCCCAACCTCCATTAATACTTCTTCATCAAGTTGTAAATAAAATATTGCCTGTTTCCCACTGAACAATCAAACCCCTTAAGAAGACATAGCCCACTCCGAGTAACAGCCATAAATTTTATAATGGCCTTCGTTGGGATCACTCCATCCATCAAGCTGACTATACTCACCCCCCCTTCTCTCTCCATGAGCCCGAATAGGATCTAACAACCCTATCAATGTTATCCTTTCTTTTTGAAGCAATGTAAGTTCTCAACATGTATACCATCGGTGTAACATATCCTGTATGTGTTATTGCTAGCAAAAAGAAATGCACAAACATATAAGGATTCTTCCAAATTGAAATGGAAATCCTGCTGAATAAAACATTCTAGCTATTCACTATTAGTCAGTTCTCGAAGCCCCCAAGTTTAAAAGCTTCATAACAGGGTTACTACTACTTCACTCCCTAAAGCAGTTGACCTCTTCCTTTTTGATCCATAATACTCCTCTTGTCATTAAAACAAAAACCTAATGATGCACTGAACTGGAGGAGCCAATGGACTTTTCTTCAACCTAGAGTTTTTCAAATTTCAACTTGCTTCTGCAATTGCTCTCCAAAAATCTGCTTTATCCTTACTTGTTACTTGTTGGGCCACACTTCTATCCCTGATTTTTAATTTGCATTCAAATGGGCTTTTACCACTAGTGTATAAACCTTTACGTGTAACCGACAAAAGTACTTGAAAAGTATAATTCCCCCCCTTTGCACCAGATTTCTAATCTAGTCACATATTTCCACAGTGGCTTATCATCTCAGCATCAAAGGCAGATGGTTATTGCAGAAATTGAACTAGGACATTTTCCTATAAATAACATTAAAAAAGAAGGATAAATAAAAAACAAAAAAAAAAGAGCAAATAAAATTTAAATAAAAACAGAATTAAACATATTAATAAAAAAAACATTCTCATCTAAATAAAGAGTTTTAAATAAAAAAAACAAAATTTAAATACACATTTATAATATACATATTATATTAAACATATAATTAAAAAAAAATTTCTACAATATATATATATAAAACATATAAAAAATAAAATTAAAAAAAAAAAGAAAAAAACTTACATTAATATAATAAAAAAACATAAATAAAAAGTTTTATACATATATATCAAACTAAAAAAAAATAAAAAAAAAGTTTACGTTAAACATATATAAACATTAAAAATAAAAAAAATAAATAAAAAATCAATAACCTGAAGAGAGAGAGAGAGAGAGAGAAAGACCAGAGAGGAGACAGAGGAGACAGAGCGAAAGAGATGAGAGCGAGAGACGACAGAGAGAATTACCTTCGAAGACGACTGGAGCGACTGAAGCCGCGACGAGACGACTGCGATCACTGGGTCTATCGATCGACGTCGAGGCTATTAGATCGACTTCAGAGGTCTGCATCGACGTCGAGGGCATGCGAGTGAGATACAGAGCCTTCGATCAACTTCAGAGCTTCGGACTGAGAGAGGGTTCGACTGAGAGAGAGAGAGAGTCTTTTTCAGTTTGATTTCATTTCCTTTACTCTCACTTGTTGATTAGGTTCCTGTTTTTTTTTTTTTTTTTTTTTACTTTTAGAAATATTTATACTTGACCCCAAAAAAATATAAAAAATATTCAAAAAAGAACGAGCCCCGCACGTGTCCCCGCCGTGTCCCCTGTCCAATAAAAAACATAAATTAAAGGCACGCCATTCTGGCGCAGTTTGTCCGTACGGTCCACCTTCCCCGTGTCCCCGCGTGTCCGCGTGTCGGACACTGCTACGCCATCAATTTTGATGCCATGCTTATAGAGATAACTCCAACATACAAAATCACAATTTTTTTAAATACTAATCTAACGTACAAATCACATTATTTTCATAACAAAAAATGAAAACAACCATTAAAATAGTATAATAAGAAAGATTATTGTAGAAAGCATTGAACAAATACAATCACATTTTTCTTTTTGTAGTGTTTATGTTTATCTAACTTCAATTCATATTAAAAACTCAAAATTATAAACAAAAGGAGATAAACTTCCAATTATACAAATCACATTTTTTAATGGCTATCTAACTACAATTCATATTTTTTCTCAGAATAAAAAGAATAATGAAAAAAAAGAACCACTAAAATAGTAAATAAAAAGATTATTTAGAGCTATTGAACAAACTAACAATCACATTTTCTTTTTGTGAGTTTTTTGTTTATCTAACTTCATCATATTAAAAAAGTTCAAATTATAAACAAAAAAATAACTTCTATCATACAAATCACAATTTTGTAATTCTATTAACTATAATCATATTTTTTCTCATAATAAAAAAAATAATTGAAAAAAGAACCATTAAAATATAAATAAAAAGATTATTTAGAAGTATTGAATAAACTACCAATCACATATTTCAAAAGTCATGAATCACCACACTGCATATCTCTGTTAAAAGCATGCTAAATAGTATAAAACATGTATATTAAATTTGTTCACCTGTGCATTGTTTTTGCCATTGGAATCCTCAAGCCCACAGGTTTAGTATATCATCTTGTATCCACTAGGTCATTAATTTCTTTCTGGCTATACATTGATATTTTCTAAAGCAAGCTTCAAGCATATATATTTGAAACAACCATACTGTTTTCTTAATCTCACATGACGTTATATGGTGTGTTCCCTCTCTAGACTAAATATCCTGCTTCGGTGATCAACTAGCCCTAAAAAAAACTTACAAATCAAATCATAATCAAATCAAATAATAAAAAAAACCCTTAAAATAAATCAGTGATGTTGTAAATTTATATCTAATGCGATGTGAACTAAACTAGAAGGAATCTAATTCATACATTTATTTTTGACACTACTTCATTAGCAATTTTTTACTTGCTGGCATAAGATCATCTAACATTCCTATTTATCATTGTTTGTTCTCATACTCTTTGACAACTAGTTTTGATGAAATGATAATATGTAATATATAAAATAAAAATAAAAAACAACAGAGAAGTAAGCAGATTAAATTCTTCTCCGATGCTCTATCAATTATCCACTACAGCCTTCTTTTATTTTGTTAAGTAGTAAATACTAAATATGAAAAAATTGAACCCTAGACCCAAATCCCTTCTCTACTGGTAATATTTTAAGTTAAATACAGCTTGGCAGTTACTGCCTAAACTAAGGTTGCAATTATTGAAAAATTCCATTCTGATCTTACAATGATAAAAACCAAACTTAAGAAAATAAAACATAGAGAGAAAAGTGGGACAGAAAATAGTTATATATCTTATTAAGGATGAAAAAAGGGAAAATTTATTATCCTTTCACTCATGACTTTCAATTTGAATCAGAGTATATCAAAACTAATTTGGCACTTAAACAGTTAGTCAAATTCACAAATTAACTTTCAATTGAAGTCAGGAAGCTTGAATATCAATAACCTAATTTTGCCCCTAAACCCTCCAAATCATATCAAATAAAGTCAATAACCAATAAACCAGAAACTGGCTGAATATCATTCACAATTCAGAACACAATCAAGAACATCAAATAAAACACAAATTGATCAAATTATCGAAAATTTTATGAATCAACATCACACCACACGGACCACTCTATTCAGATGAATTAATGATTCTATAGAATTGATAATCATATTCGAAAGTAAAGAAACAAAAAAAGCAAATATATAACCCTAGAAATTGTAAGAATATTATATATATATAATAAGAGAGAGAGAGAAGAAGGCGGAAATTACCTGATGTGCGCTGAGGAGAGAACAAATCAAAGTAGCTACTGTTCTCTGTCGCTTGGAGATGGTGTACCGTCGCTGAGA